CTCTGGGAGCCTGAGGCAGGTTGATCGTTTGAGCTTAGGAGTTCGAGACCAGCCTGAGCAAAAGTGAGACGCCCTCTCTACCAAAAATAGAAAAAATTAGCCGGGCATGGTGGTGCATGCCTGTAGTCCCAGCTACTCGGGAGGCTGAAGCAGAAGAATAGCTTGAGCCTGGGAGTTTGAGGTTGCTGTGAGCTAGGCTGACACCACGGCACTCTAGCCAGGGAAACAGAATGAGACTGTCTCAAAATAAAATAAAATAAAATAAAATAAAAAATAAAATAAATAAAATAAAATATAAAAAATAAAATAAAATAAAATAAATAAAATAAAATAAAATAAAGAGATAGGGTCTCACTCTGTCACCAGGCTGAAGTGCACTGGCATGGTCATAGCTAACTGCGATCTCAAACTCTTCAGCTCAAGTGGTCCTCTTGCCTAAGCCTCCTGAGTATCTGAGATCACAGACGTGTGCCACCATGCTCAGCTAATTTCTTTTTAAATTTTTTTTAGAAACAGAGTCTCACTACATTGCCCAGGCTGATCTCAAACTCCTGGTCTTAAGCAACTCTCCGCCTTGGCCTCCTGAAGTGTTGGGATTACAGTTGTGAGCCACTGCAACTAGCCAACTGTAGAATTAAAAAAAAAAAAATCCTTAGAAAACAAATTCAAAGGAGAAAACATAGATAATAGTTCTCATGTTGCTTTTAACAACTTTCTCTCCCAGATATCAAAAATTAATTTTATTAAAACTTTATTGTGGCCGGGCACGGTGGCTCACGCCTGTAATCCTAGCTCTCTGGGAGGCCGAGGCGGGTGGATCGTTTGAGCTCAGGAGTTCAAGACCAGCCTGAGCAAGAGCAAGACCCGTCTCTACTAAAAATAATAATAATAAAAAAAGTTAATTGGCCAACTGAAAATAGAAAAAAAAAATAAAGAAATTAAAAAAAAACAACTTTATTGTTTCTGCTACACAATTCCATTATTAAATAAAATTATGAAATTTGGCTTTATGAAATAAATCTTTCACAATTTCATCCAATATCTCATTACTCTGACTAGAAAACATTGTCTTTATGCTTCCATTCTACTTTTACCTTATTAAAATTCTTTATACTTATAATTATCACTTATATAGTATTTATTCACACATACATATAAAATGCATCTTTTACTTTATTTTACTTTTATGTTTTTTAAGAGATAAGAGTCTTGCTCTGTGTCTCAGGCTGGAGTACAGTGGCACGATCATAGCCTACTACAGTCTTACATCTTCTACTTTAAAAATATGAGTTTTTACCTCAAAAGTAATATAAAAATTACTCAAAATAATTTTTATTCTTTTTTATCAGACTATGTCTCCATATCAAAATAATTTTTTTTTTTTTTTTTTTTTTTTTTACAGAGTCTCACTTTGTTGCCCAGGCTAGAGTGAGTGCCGTGGCATCAGCCTAGCTCACAGCAACCTCAATCTCCTGGGCTAAAGTGATCCTATTGCCTCAGCTTCCTGAGTAGCTAGGACTACAGGCATGCGCCACCATGCCCAGCTAATTATTATTATTTTTTTGTATATATATTTTTAGTTGGTCAATTGATTTTTTTCTATTTTTAGTAGAGACGGGGTCTCGCTCAGGCTGGTTTCGAACTCCTGACCTTGAGCAATCCTCCCGCCATGGCCTCACAGAGTGCTAGGATTACAGGTGTGAGCCACCGTGCCCAGCCCAAAATAATTATTAAATGGAATATAAACTTAAGTGTGAAAATCATAACTGTTAAACTATTAAAAGAAAATTTGGGAGAATATCTTTTTTACTTTGGGGCTCAAAAAATGTCTTAAGGCTTAAATAAGCCATAAAAAGAATAAAACATAAGGCAAAAAAAAAATCAGTGTATTTGACCACATCAAAATCTATAATTCCTTGCTGGGCATAGTGGCTCACGCCTGTAATCCTGGCACTAGGTGAGGCCAAGGTGGGTGGATCATTTGAGCTCAGGAGTTCGAGACCAGCCTGAGCAAGAGCAAGACCCCATCTCTACTAAAAAAATAGAAAGAAATTAGCTGGACAACTAAAATTATATATATAAAAAATTAGCCGGGCATGGTGGCACATGTCTATAGTCCCAGCTCCTTGGGAGGCTGAGGCAGGAAGATGGCTTGAGCTGAGGAGTTTAAGGTTGCTGTGAGCTAGGCTGACACCACGGCACTCACTCTAGCCCAGGCAACAAAGTGAGACTCTGTCTCAAAAAAAAAAAAAAAAATATTCACTGCAATACTATTCACAATAGCAAAATATTATAAACATCAATGTGTACTTATGGATTAATGGAAAAATTAAATCAATGAGATATTATAGAAGAGTTAAGAAAAACAAATCAAATCTACTACCTCTGACAGCTCTCAAAAGGTTTGTAAAAGGACAGTCCCGGTGGCTTACCACAATAATCCTAGCACTTTAAGAGGCTGAGGCAGGAGGATTACTTGAGGCCAGGGGTTCAAGATTAGCCTGAGCAAAAGCAAGACCCCCATCTCTACAAAAATTAGAAAAATTAGCTAGGCTTGGTGGTGTGCTGCTGTAGTCCCAGCTACTCAGGAGGCTGAGGTAGGAGGATTGCTTTAGTCTAGAAGTTTGAGACTGCAGTGAGCTATGATGACACCACTGCACCCTAGACAGGGAACAGAGTAAGACCCTGACTCTAAAAAAAGGGGTTGTAAAATACAGAATATCATTTATGTACATTTTTTAAAAAACCAAACACTATACTATATATTAATAGACCCCTATATATCTACATATAAAAAATGAACTATTTAGATTCATACCAAATTCATGATAATAGTCATCTGTAAGATGGGAGGAAAGGGGAATATGTATTGCAGTTTCTCAACTCTGGTGCTACTGACACTATTGATTGTTATGGAGGCTGTCCTGTACATAGTAGGACATTTAGCGATATCACTGGCCTCTACCCACTCGATAGCAGTAGCACCCTCTCCCCCGGTGTTGTAACAATCAAAAATGTCCCTTTAGACATAACTCCTGGGGGGAAAATTTGTTCCCTAGTTATAGGGAACAAAGAGGATTTTTACTTTATCTGAAAAGTTCTATTTATGTATTTAAAAATATAATGACTGGAAGCAAATTAGGAAAAAAGAAATCGTCAATTAATTGTTAGTCCTGGGTGTTAAGCACCTAAGTGCGTGTTATATTATTTGTTACTTTTTTCTGTTTTTTTCCACCTAATGAAAGATATTCATGAATTACCATATGGCCCAACAATCCCACTTCTGGGTATATATCTAAAAGAATTGAAAGTGGATCTCAAAGAGATACGTGCACACCCATGATTACAGAATCATTATTCACTATAGCTAAGAGGTAGGCCGGGCGCAGTGGCTCACACCTGTAATCCTAGCACTCTGGGAAGCCGAAATGGGTGGATTGCTCAAGGTCAGGAGTTTGAAACCAGCCTGAGCAAGAGCCAGACCCCGTCTCTACTATAAATAGAAAGAAATTTATTGGCCAACTAATATATAGAAAAAATTAGCCGGGCATTGTGGCGCATGTCCTTATTAAAAATAGAAAAAAATTATCCAGGCAACTAAAAATAAAAAAATAAACAAATTAGTCAGGCGTGGTGATACACACCTGTAGTCCCAGCTACCTGGGAGGCTGACATAGGAGAATCGCTTGAGACCAAGAGTTTGAGGTTGCTGTGAGCTAGGCTGATGCTACAATACTCTAACCCAGGTGACAGAGTGAGACTCTGTCTCAGAAAAAAAAAGAAAGAAAAGAAAAAAAGAAGAGTCCCAGGCAAACCAGGACAAGTTGTTTACCTAGTAAGGTTAAACACTTTTTTTTTTTTTTTTAAAGAAATGGTATCTTGCTATGTTGCCCAGGCTGAAGTGATCCTCCTGCCTCAGCTTCCCGAGTAACTGGGACTACGGATGCATGCCACAGTGCCTGACTAAACATCTTTTTATATTTATTGCTTATTTGTGTTTTTCCTTTAGCTTGTGATAGTCTTTGCTCATTTTAATCCTATTTATAAAAAGCTTAATTTGCTTATATTTTTCTTTAACTTAACATTATTTTGTAACCATTTTCCTCTGGTTTTTTTTTTTGAGACAGAGTCTAGCTTTGTTGCCCAGGCTAGAGTGAGTGCTGTGGCGTCAGGCTAGCTCACAGCAACCCCAAACTCCTGGGCTCAAGCAATCCTTCTGCCTCAGCCTCCCTAGTAGCTGGGACTACAGGCATGCACCACCATGCCCGGCTAATTTTTTCTATATATATTAATTGGCCAATTAATTTCTTTCTATTTATAGTAGAGACGGGGTCTCGCTCTTGCTCAGGCTGGTTTTGAACTCCTGACCTTGAGCAATCCGCCCGCCTTGGCCTCCCAGAGTGCTAGGACTGCAGGCATGAGCCACTGCGCCTGGCCTATCCTCTGTTTTTTGCATAGTGATCACACTAAAAATTTTTTAGGCTCTACTCTTCCATCTTAGCTTAATTAACTATTCCCTTCTTTGGAAAATTTAGGTCATCAAATTGTCCTAATATAAACATTCTGTTTACCCCAAAGGGATATGGTAAGAGCCAAAAGAGAGAATATGAAGTATCTCTAAAACTTGAATGAGGGCGATGATGGTGGTGATGGTAGAGGAGGCTGGTTAATAATGGGAACACCCTTAATAACAGCTAGAATTGTGCATTCCTTTAGTATAAACCCACAAAAAATGCTGAAGCCCAGGGCAGTTCATTAAATATTTTTAAATTTATAATTATCTGTTATAATCTCATTTCTAAGAAGTCCTTATAATACTTAATCAGGCAGCCCCCAAAAGAAAGCAGTTTGTCATCATTATCACTTTCTCTGCCTAAAATTTGTGCATTTCTTGAAAAATTGTCATTTGAGGCCACTTTATACACTTTGTTCCCTGAAATGTATTAGTCACTTCTTCTTCTCTGTATAGTCAGAAAAAACTTCATTCTATAGGCACTCACCTTGGCCAAATCAAAAGGTGTTTTGACCTCTGCAGTTGTGTCAGGTTCAGCAAAAGCAGGAACTTCCTGTTTGTTTCTCCCTTTCCGCCTACCACGCTTTAGTTGGTCTCCTGATCTCTGTCCATCTAAAATTTCTTTAAAGAAAAAAAAAAAATCACAGATAATAGCAGGATGCTGAAAATCTATAGCTAATAAATGGAAGATGATGCTTAATATTTAGAGTTGAAATAACCAATCAAGAAGATTTTTAATTATTGCTTTCTCTCAAGTCAGAATTAAATTTAAACCATCATTTTTAAGATTACAGCCAATGGTAAAGAACTCAAACAACTAGCTGGGATATTTTAGCTTATATAATAATAATGATTTAGATTATTTAGGTTGCTGTTCATCTTTTATACTATTTAATTACTTATAAATGCTATTCATATTATAGTCAGTCGACATTTTACTTTCATCTAGGTATGCACATAACTGAAAAACGTTTCTTTAGGCCAGGCATGGTTGCTCACACCTGTAACTCTAGCACTCTGGGAGGCTGAGGTGGGCGGATTGCTCAAGGTCAGGAGTTTGAAACCAGCCTGAGCAAGAGCAAGATCCTGTCTCTACTAAAAATAGAAAGAAATTAGCCAAACAATTAAACATATATAGAAAAATTAGCCGGGCATGGTGGCACATGCCTGTAGCCCCAGCTATTCGGGAGGCTGAGGCAGTAGGATCACTTGAGCCCAAGAGTTTGAGGTTGCTGTGAGCTAGGCTGACGCCACGGCACTCTAGCCAGGGTAATAGAGTGAGATTCTGTCTCAAAAAAATAAAATAAAATAAAATAAAATAAAATAAAATAAAATAAAATGAAATAAGATGAAATAAAAATTTAAAAGTTTCTTTAATCCATCTTTAAATTTTTTGAATTATTCCGAAACCACATTTATATCCATACACAGGTATGTTTGTGAGATTTTCTAAATTGAAAAAGTCTGAACTAGAACAATATTCATCATGATTGAATAGAACTACAAATATGAATATTTATGATTCTGCTTAAGTTTGCTATAAAGAAATAAAAGATGGTAAAAAACACCAAGTCCCTTAAACCTGCCCATTTACCAATATTTCAACCATTAGTTAATTATATTAACTTACCATCTTTTTTTAAGCACTGTTGCAAAGGATCAGAAATCAACTCTTGATCATTCTTTTGCCATTTGGTTATAAGCTCTTCTATGAATTGACCTTTTTTGCCTTCATTTCCCTGAAGGAGATCAGTAACATACTCTCGTATCTCTTCGGCACTCTCAATTGACAAAACATACCTCAAGAGGCAAAACATACAAGTTGTTGAAACAAGGCTAGCATACAGTATGTTTTTTAATAATCATAATAAGAGATCAAGGTAGTAAAAAAAACATTCATTAACCTATCAATGTTTACTGTGAGCCAAGTACTATGTTAGATGCTAGAAATATAATTTTGATTAAGACAAAGACTTTGATCTCAAGTAGTTCATAATCTAACCTTCATATGTATTTGACCATTTACTAGTTCTCCATATTTCTAGAATCAAATCAGTGTTGTCAGAGGTTATGGGGCTGTCTTTACCAATGGAATATTTCCTATGACTATATAGTCACCATATTTTCCTGGAAACGATACAAATACTTAATCTTTATATTGGAAAATCTAAAATTTCTCTTACTTTTGCTAATGATACGAATATATACTACAATCTAACCAGTTTCTGAGTAAACATTGTTAAAATCTGGGCACAGTGGCTCATGCTTATAAATCCTAGCACTTTGAGAGGCCAAGGCAGGAAGATTGCCTGAGGCCAGGAGTTCTAGACTAGCCTGGGCAACATAGTGAGACCCCTATCTACAAAAAAATAGAAAAATTAGCTGGGTGTGGTGGTGCATGCCTGTACTCCCAGCTACTAAGAAGGGTGAGGCAGGAGGATTGCCTGAGCCCAGGAATTTGAGGTTGCAGTGAGCTATAATGACACCACCGCCCTCTAGCCCAGGGAACAAAGAGAAACTCTGTCTCAAAACAAAAAAATTATAAATCGAGATTAGCATCAAATCAAAATAAGCAGATCTGTTAAGGAAATGTTTTAAAGTGTTTCTTAAATGAAATGGGGTAGGAGTATAAGTTAGTACAATTTTTCTAGAGATAAATCAGCCAATGTATTTCAAGTCCTTTAAAAATGATTCAATAATTCTATTTATAGGACCCTGTGAAATAAGAGTCATAGAAAAATGTATACAAAACAAGTTAACTGAGGCCGGGCGCAGTGGCTCACGCCTGTAATCCTACCACTCTGGGAGGCCGAGGCAGGCAGATAGCTCGAGGTCAGGAGTTGGAAACCAGCCTGAGCAAGAGCGAGACCCCGTCTCTATTATAAATAGAAAGAAATTAATTGGCCAACTAATATATATAGAAAAAATTAGCTGGGCATGGTGGCGCATGCCTGTAGTCCCAGCTACTAGGGAGGCTGAGGCAGTAGGATTGCTTGAGCCCAGGGGTCTGAGGTTGCTGTGAGCTAGGCTGACGCCACGGCACTCACTCTAGCCTGGGCAACAAAGTGAGACTCTGTCTCAAAAAAAAAAAAAAGTTAACTGAATAATTATTTGAATTAGTGAAAAACTAGAAACTATTTAAAACATTAAAACATCCATTGATAGGGGAAAGGGTAAATGAATGGAGTTTTTGGGTTTTACAAACTGGAATACAATGCCATCACTAAAAGTGAAATTTTTGAGTAATTATCATTGACCTCAGAAAATGCTCCCATAATAAAATGGTAAGGAAAATAGAAGAAACTACATATGATCCTAATTGCTATAAATGGAAGGTCTATATATACTTATATGTAGAAAAAAGGCTAGGTTATACACCAAAATGATTACTACTGACTGGTAGAATTAAAGGCAGTTTTTATTTTTAGTTTCTTTTTTCCCTACAATGAATATGTTTTGAAAATTTATTACATTAAAATATGTATATGGGTTGGGCATGGTGACTCACGCCTGTAATCCTAGCACTCTGGGAGGCAGATCACTCAAGATCAGGAGTTCAAAACCAGCCTAACCAAGAGCAAGACCCCATCTCTACTAAAAATAGAAAGAAATTAATTGGCCAACTAAAAATATGTAGAAAAAAAGTTAGCCGGGCATGGATGGAGGCACATGCCTGTAGTCCCAGCTACTTGGGAGGCTGAGGCAGGAGGATGGCTTGAGCCCAGGAGTTTGAGGTTCCTGTGAGCTAGGCTGATGCCATGGCACTCTAGCCCAGGCAACAAAGCAAGACCCTGTCAAAAAAAAAAAAATATATATATAAATATATATATATATATATATATGTACACGAAAAATACACCAAGAGAAACAGTGGTTATTTCCAGTTTGTGATATGGTAATTTTGGTTTCTTCATTTTCTTTTTCTTTTTTTTTTGAGACAGAGTCTTGCTTTGTTGCCTGGGCTAGAGTGCTGTGGCGTCAGCCTAGATCACAGCAACCTCAAACTCCTGGGCTCAAGCCATCTTCCTGCCTCAGCCTCCCGAGTAGCTGGGACTACAGGCATGTGCCACCATGCCCCACTAATTTTTTTATTTTTAGTAGAGATAGGGTCTCACTCTTGCTCAGGCTGGTTTCAAACTCCTGACCTCAAGCAATCCTTCTGCCTCGGCCTCCCAGAGTGCTAGGATTACAGGTGTGAGCCACCACACCTGGTCTATCATTTTCTTATTTCTATACTTTTCTACAGTGAATGTCTTCTCATTACAGAAGAAGGAAGTAATCAAAATCACTTATGTCAATTGTCAGAACATAAAAGAAAAAGATTAGTTATAAATTAAGATATAAGACCCTCAAAGTTTAATAAGATCTGAATTAGAATTCAGACACACTAGTATGAAATGCAAGAAAAATTTTAATAATGCCATATCCTTTAAATTTGAAAAAAATCATGAAATTACCCGATGATTGATAGCCTAGGTACTGGATTCTTTTCCTAGTGTAGTGGTGAAACTGCAGAGTTATGATCTATAGGTAAACAAACCTGTACCTTTGGGCCTTATTTATCAGTATCTTCTAATCACCACAGATTGGGGGGGGGGGAAGACACATTTTTTTCAGGACTTATACATTTTAATCATCTTGACCCCCAAACTTGCCAGCCCCCACCAAAGATTAATTGCTATCAAAGACTCATAGATCTATAAGGAATCTCAAGGCATCATTTAACCCTGGAGTTTTCAAACCACCAGGGAAGCAAAAAGAGTTCCAGAGCTATTTAAATAAGTGTTATTTTAACTATTTAACAAAGTGTAATAAAGACCATTCATCCAAATGTGATATATAACAAATCTTATCAAAATAGAGTCAACCAAAACATGAACATGAAGATTCTGGAATAAAATTTATTTCGCTAACTCTGTACAGATCTCCATGTTTTATAAATGTGTCATTGATTTGGAAGTTAATAGCTCTGTGATTTTTTTAAATTCAGGCCACTAATTAAATTGTTGAAGTTAGTGCACAATTGTAGTATACTTGGGTAATTCTCAATTAAATGGCAGGCAAGACATAGCAAATGGTTTCATCATAGCATAATAGCCTATTGTGCAATAACATATGAATGCGTAATAAGTGGTTGAAATAGTATTATATGAGAGGTAGCTTCAGTACTTAAAGTACTGAACACTTCTTACCTAACTTATATTAATGATAAAAAATGCAAGCAAGTGTTTAGCCACATTTAGTGCTTCAACTTTAAAACAGAAATTTCTTATCACTTCACTTTCATGAGTGTGATAAGTTTAATTGAGGAAAACTTGAGTTTGCAAAACGACCTATTAAACTCCTATCCATGAGAATCAGAATTTTCTTTTCTTTTCTTTTCTTTTTTGAGACAGAGTCTCACTCTCTTGCCTGGGCCAGAGTGCTGTGGCATCAGCCTAGCTCACAGCAACCTCAAACTCCTGGGCTCAAGCAATCCTGCTGCCTCAGCCTCCCTAGTAGCTGGGACTACAGGCATGCACCACCATGCCCGGCTAATTTTTTCTATATATATATTAGTTGGCCAATTAATTTCTTTCTATTTATAGTAGAGATGGGGTCTCGCTCTTGCTCAGGCTGGTTTGGAACTCCGGACCTCGAGCAATCCGCCCACCTCAGCCTCCCATAGTGCTAGGATTACAGGCATGAGCCACCGCACCCGGCCTGAGTGACTTTATAATATGTGGTAAATTCAAATTTATATTTATGTTAGTAAAACCCACTTTTTTCTGTTTTACATATTTCAAAGTCTCCTTATTTCATTTGCTAGCATTCCACTGCTTTATATAATGTTTGAAAACAGCTTGATTTTGCCTTCAAATAAAGGTAAAGCCAATCCATATGATTTGGCTGTTTTTTTGGTAGTCTATTCCAGTGTTCAAAAAAAAAAAATCCTTTAAAATAGCTGTCTTAATTCTCTCCTAGCCAACAAGTCTATCTTCTCCCAAACTCAGAAACTCACCTTACTTCTTACAAAAGTCCTAGAATCACAATTTTGGTTTCAGTATCAATGAACAAGGAATCAAATTAAGGTTCCTTGATCAAGTCTCACTTCTGCAGCTTTCTCCCCTGCCTGAAGACTGTGCATTTACAACTCTGTTCTCCTTTAGTTTTCAAGTGAAAGTCAACCCTTCCAGTAGACCTTCCCAGTTTCTCCAATCTTAATGAAGATCCTTTATTTCATGCTACCACAATCCCCTCTACTTCCCCCACCTCAGCACTTATCAGTGAAGCAGAAACAAATTATCTTGATCGTCTTTGTTGCCACAGCAACTTGCATGTAGTAGTAGCGCAACAAATGTTCGTTAATCAATTTAAAGCAGGTATTAGACCATGTTCAATTCATAAGAATCATAAAACATTAACGATAAGCTCTGCTAAGTATTCATTTTATGGATGAGGACACCAAGATAGAGTAAAATTAAGTTGTCCAAGGTTCCAAAACTGGTAAATGATAACAGAAAACAAAACCTGCGACTTCCAAGTCAGGAGCTATATAATATTTGCACTGTATCACGCTGTCCTCATTTAAATTTCAAGTCCTATCTGACACAACTCAGACTGGGCGAACTAAAACGTTCCGAGTAAGGAATTTCTACACAGACAATTTGACTTGCCCCTTTCTCCAGAATCTATAAGGAAACTGGCTCCGGTACAGTTTTACAGGTTTAATTAATACAGATTTGGTGTTTTCGTAGGAAAAAAGGCCCCACTGGCAGTTTGTACAGCCTGTCACACTATTCCAGAAGCTAAATTATAAAGGTGGAGGTGAAAATTCGGCGCCTACAAACCGACTGCAGCCCTTTTATCACATTTCTTCTCTCAACTTTTCAGGACTGGCCGCTTCCCCATTTGCTCAGCCAGTGCACAACCCAAGCTCCTTCCCGCCCCGGATCCCAGCCAGTCTCACTGTATGATCTCCTCGCTGACATCCAGACCGAAAGTTTTCCGCAACTGCTGGGTGCACCAGTGCACCAGCTGCTCCCCGGACGCCGCCCCAGTCACCGCCATCTTCCCCAGCCGGAACCAGCTGGGCTATAAAAACCCCACGTCCTGCGCCGGACTAGTTCCCTTCGCAACACCGACCTTGCTCACGCGGGTTCCGCCAGCCTGCACCTCCCCGCGCTGTCGCACCGCCTCCAGTGAAGATCCCGCCCACCTGTGCTGCCTCCTGCTTCTTCCCGCTTCCTTGTCTGTTTACGTTTGTGTCCGAACGCCATCTGTCGTGACTGTACCACATCAAGGAGGGTCATTGGCAATTCTGCTGAGAAGACAGTACAAATAAAAACTACAGTTTGGGAGAGAAAAAAACAATATCCGGAGACATGAGGGATCAGCTTTTTTTTTTTTTTTTTTTGCCCAGCTTTCTCTACAAGTTCCAACACGAGGCCAGCTTCAGCTGGGCGTGGTGGCGCTTGCCTATAATGGGCTAGGTAGGATCACTTGAACCTGGGAGTTGGAAGCTGCTGAGAGTTGTGATCACCCCACTGCACTCTAGTCTGGGCGGCAGAGGGAGAACCGGTCTCACATAAATAAAGCACTGTAACAAGAAAAAGAAAAAAAAGGGTGCTTTTTGTTGTTTTTTTAAACAGGCCAGCTTTTAAATCATTATGGTTTTATGTAAAATAAAACAGCACTGTAAACTCTAGTGAGCGCTAAACGTTTTTGCTCTGGTGGTGGTGGTGCTTATAGTTGGATACTAGAATCACACTGCTAAAACCTCTGGGATGTTCCGTTCAAATCTGAAAGCCTCAGAACCAGGGAAGCCATTGGTGTTATTATCCGTCTCAAGGCCTTAAAGCCTGGAGTTCTGATGTCCAAGGGCCGAGAAGGAAAGTGTCCAGCTTCAGGAGAAAGAGAGGAATTTTTTTTTCTCTCCTTTTTTTGGTCTTTTCAGGTCACCTGCTGACTGGATGGTGCTCTGCTTACATTGAGAGTGGGTCTGCCCTACTCAGTCCGCTGACTCACATGCCAATGCCTTTTGGACACACCTTCACAGAGACACCCACAAGTAATGCTTTATCAGTTCTCTAAGGATTCCTTAATACAATCAAGGTGATACCTAAAATTAACCATAAGAGTCCCCATAACTAAAATATTAACTTCTTGAACCACAGACTATGGCTTAAGTCTTTTTGTATAATAGAACTTAGTACATTATACAAATTATGATGAAATAAGTATGTGCTCAAGAATAACATAGGCAGGCCAGGTATGGTGGCTCACGCCTATGATACCAGTGCTTTGGGAAGCCAAGGTGACAGGATCACTTGAGGCCAGGAGTTCAAGACTAACCTGGACAACATTCAAGACCTCATATCTACAAAAATTTAAAAATTAGCTGGGTCTGTGGCATCTGGCTATAGTCTCAGCTACTTGGGTGCTTGAGGCAGGAGAATTTCTTAAGCCCAGGATTTTGAGGTTACAGTGAGCTGTGATCACACCACTGTACTCCATCCTAGGTGACAGAAAATGACCCTGTCTCCAGGGGCAAAAAACCAAAAGAATAACATAGGTATTATTTTTTCATACAACATATGTTAATTATTATGATCTCTAGTTTGTAATGTATATGATATAATGCCATTTACAATCATTATCATTTATTAAAATACATTTCTAAGGCCAGGCTCGGTGGCTCATGCTTGTAATCTTACTTAGTACTTTGGGAGTCTGAGGCAGGGGGATTTCTCGAGGTCAGGAGTTCAAGACCAGCTTGAGCAAAAGGAAGACCCTGTCTCCACAAAAAATAGAAAAACTAGCTGGATATGGTGGTGTGCACCTGTAGTCCCAGCTACTCAGGAGGCTGAGGCAGGAGGATTGCTTGAGCTGAGGAGTTTGAGGTTCCCATTGCAACCTATGATGACATCACTGTGCTCATGTTGGGGTGACAGAGACTGCCTCAAAAAAAAAAAGATATATATATTTCTGCCTGAGCACTGCAAACACACCCATTTAACATGACTTAAAGATATTCTTTGGTATCAATTTAGGCAGAAATTTCATCCATATGCACTACAAGTTTTCTTAAGGCCCTAGGCCTTAGAAATTTTCAGGTTCATACCACACAACTCTCTGTGTTTTATTTAATTGTCAAGGAGAATCATTTCTTTTCTTTTTTTTTTTTTTTTTTTGAGACAGAGTCTCACTTTGTTGCCCAGGCTAGAGTGAGTGCCGTGGCATCAGCCTAGCTCACAGCAACCTCAAACTCCTGGGCTCAAGCAATCCTTCTGCCTCAACCTCCTGAGTAGCAGGGACTACAGGCATGCGCCACCATGCTCAGCTAATTTTTTTCTATATATATTAGTTGGCCAATTAATTTCTTTCTATTTATAGTAGAGATGGGGTCTCGCTCTTACTCAGGCTGGTTTGGAACTCCGAACCTCAAGCAATCCGCCTGCCTCGGCCTCCCAGAATGCTAGGATTATAGGTGTGAGCCACTGTGCCCGGCCAAGGAGAATCATTTCTGCAAAGGAAACATTTCAATTAAGAATTTTTACTAGGCTACCAGTCATATTGGATTAGAGGGGAAAAAAAGAAATTTTACTAGGCATAACTCCTTTTTTTTTCTCTAACATGCATTCTTCATTGTCATCACTGGTATTAAAAAGACAAACATACAAACCAAAACAAACACATACAACCATAGTATAATAATATGTAGACTGTCCCTGTGTGAAAATGTATATTTGCAATTCTTGCTGCAATTTACTTGGCAGGTAAGTTGGGAGAAAAGAATAGCAGATTCTCTCTTCAGGAATGTGGGATGTGAGTTCAAATTAAGTAATTCAGGCCTATGTAGAAGCCGCTTTAACTAAAAAGGAAATAATGACATTTAAGAATCACTGTGGGTGCAGTGGCTCACACCAACAATCCCAGCATTTGGGAGGCCGAGGTGGTAAGATTGCTTAAGCCCAGGAGTTGGAAACTTCCAATACAGAGAGACCCCTGTCTACACACACACACACACACACACACACACACACATACAAATCAGCTGGGTGATGCATGTCTGTAGTCCCATTTACTTGGAAGCTTAGGCAGAGGATCAATTAAAGGAGACTCTTATCTTTTTTTAAAAAAAAAAGGCCAGCACGGTGGCTCATGCCTGTAATCCTACCACTCTGGGAGGCTGACTCAGGAGGATTGCTCAAGGTCAGGAGTTCAAAACCAGCCTCATCAAGAGCGAGACCTGTCTCTACTAAAAATAGAAATTAATTGGCCAACTAAAAATATATAGAGAAAAAATTAGCCAGGCACAGTGGCGTGTGCCTATAGTCCCAGCTACTCAGGAGGCTGAGGCAGGAGGATCGCTTGAGCCTAGGAATTGAGGTTGCTGTGAGCTAGGCTGATGCCAGGGCACTCTAGCTGGAGCAACAGAATGGGACTCTGTCTCAAAAAAAAAAAAAAAAAAAAGAGTGAAAGAAAGAGAGAGAGACCCTCTGTGCTTAGAGATAGGGCATGAGGACAAAGAACAAAGCAATACCCTGGGGCTTCTTGACTTTTCCGGTTAATTTGGCTGTAATCTTAGACTCCAGGTTTAAGACAAAACTACAGTTAATTGCCAATACATTTCCTACTATTATAATGTTAATTTAACCTGTTGCCTAAATTCTTTAATTCTATAACACCGTGTAGTTGTTGATCCAGTTAAAGTGCTGAGTAGCCTATTTTTATAAAATTCAAGCATAACTCACTGGAGAGAATTAATGCTGTGATTACACTTCCAGGGTTACCTTTCAAATAAGCATTTAGCAGAGTACATCCTAAAAACATTAAAAAGCCTTGTAAATAAGTGGTATTAGCTTCCTTTTCGCCATTCCATAGAATTGTTTTAGTATAGATGCTGTAGAGAGTTCATGCCTGAGGTATTTAAAGGGAAGTTCTCAAATTTCCTTTATTTTGATTTGCATCAAAAAGTTCGCTTAATTTCAGGTTTCACTTCCAGAAGTTAATCATTATGGATTTGACCCTAAGGAAAGTTTGAAGAAAAGTTGTAATTCGCTGTTTTCTTTTCTAAGCAGGCCCATTTCTCTAATTCAGACTCTTGGCATCCACACACCGGCTACCCGTGGAAAGCGGCCTGGCACCGCCCACCTGGGGCGGGTACGAATCTCAGACCTCTGTGGGTTGATGGACGGGGGTGCCCTGCGTGAAGCCTCGCGGCTGTCACGGCTGGACACTGGCGATTGGTTCGAGGGGAACGGCGCGGAGCCAATGGGAGCGGCGGCTCGGGAGAGTCCGTGGAGCGCGCGGGAAAGAGACCCATATAAACTGTGGCGGGATTTTAGTTTCCAAGTCCTTGTCCAGCGAATCACTCTCGGCTGGGAAGTCAGTTCGTTACTCACGTCTCCTCCCGTTGGAACATGGTGCGGACTAAAGCGGACAGTGTCCCAGGCACCTACAGAAAAGGTGAGGCTATTGAGCGCGGTAGTGGAGGGCAAGAGATGCCAGGGCTCCCCCCGGGGCCTGTGCGCCAAACTCCTCCAGCCGGCTAGAAAGCAGCCGCCCGGCTTTACCTTCAGGACGAAGCGGCGAGGGCAGGGGACGGTTGGGTTATCTTGCTGTTCTGGGTGACCGGGCTCCACTCTCTAAGCCGCTGGGTCAGGGACTGTGGTAGAATGTGGCTCTGAGCCTCGGTGTCCGAACCTTCCCTCCTTCTGAACGTCCTCTTTGACTCTCTTCGCAGTGGTGGCTTCTCGAGCTCCCAGAAAGGTTCTCGGTTCCTCCACCTCTGCCACTAATTCTGCGTCACTATCATCGAGGAAAGGTAAGAAGAGCCTCTGCAAGATTCTGGAGTAAGAGACACCTTCCTTAAAGGGGATCAGGTCTGGCACCTTCAAGCCTCTGATCTGCCATGAAACTTATTTTTCTTGAGATCCTCACGCCCGAATTTCTTCCTTGCTGTGATATAAAGAGGGGGCCTTGGCCTTTTGGCGGTATTGGGTAGAGGTGGGGTCTTATGAAAGAGAATCTCAAACCATGGGGTTAGGGTTAGGGACAGACAGAGTTTATTTGCAAAGCTAGTTTTCTTTTTAGGTTTAATGTTTTCATTTTTCTTTCTATTGTCTCATTAGATCAAGAATTAGAATGATGGGCAACCGTGTTAATCACATCGTCTTCTAAACAGAGTAAACATTTTTTCAGTTTTTGTTACTGCATGTTTTTCATTTCTTTTTTATTTACTTTCTCTTTTTGAGTGTGGTGTCTGTGTTTTCTCTAACTTTTCAGCTCCTGATACTGCCTTTGGGAAAGTAAAAGTGGAACCCAGCAAGGGAAATAACTTCACTTTGCTCCTTCTGCATGTGGAAAGGATGAGAAAATGCCTTGCCATCTGTGTCTCATTCCTTTCAATAGGGAGTTGAGCAGGCAGGAAGATTAATTCCACAGGTTAAGTTAAGAACATAAAGGGGGGCCAGGCGCGGTGGCCCACACCTGTAATCCTAGCACTTTGGGACGCCGAGGCGGGTGGATTGCTCGAGGTCAGGAGTTCAAAACCAGCCTGAGCAAGAGCGAGACCCTGTCTCTTCTATAAATAGAAAGAAATTAATTGGCCAACTAATATATATAGAAAAAATTAGCCGGGCATGGTGGCACATGCCTGTAGTCCCAGCTACTCGGGAGGCTGAGGCAGCAGGATTGCTTGAGCCCAGGAGTTTGAGGTTGCTGTGAGCTAGGCTGATGCCACGGCACTCGCTCTAGTCTGGGCAACAAAGCGAGACTCTGTCTCAAAGAAAAAAAAAAAAAAAAAAAGAAAAAGAACGTAAAGGGAACACTTTAGGATTTAATGGGATTTTAAGTTAACTCAAATTTTCCCCTAGTCTTAATAGTTCATGGTAAAATATTATTTCAATCTCTTCAGATAAAAGGAAATGGTAGTCAAAATTTTTGAAAGTATATTAATTTAATTTTTAATTTTTTTTTTTTTTTTTTGAGACAGAGTCTCACTTTGTTGCCCAGGCTAGAGTGAGTGCCCTGGCATCAGTCTAGCTCACAGCAACTTCAAACTCCTGGGCTCAAACGATCCTGCTGCCTCAGCCTCTGGAATAGCTGGGACTACAGGCATGCGCCACCATGCCCGGCTAATTTTTTCTATATATATTAGTTGGCCAATTAATATCTTTCTATTTATAGTAGAGATGGGGTCTCGCCCTTGCTCAGGCTGGTTTGGAACTCCGGACCTGGAGCAATCCGCCTGCTTCGGCCTCCCAGAGTGCTAGGATTACAGGCCTGAGCCACTGCGCCTGACCAAAAATACATTAATTTATTGAGAATATCTTATGCCCTGTACCATTAGACTAAATTCCATTACTGCTACATCCCATTGTCTGGCACTGTTGAATCACCACAGCCAACTGAATAGGCCTTTTATGAATATATGCTGAACAAATGCACTCTTTATGGCATTTTACAGATCTCTATTTTTAATCCCAATAATCGACTATATGAAACTGGTAATATCCTCATTTTAAAGATGAGAAAATTTAAACTTGGGTTATATAACTTGGTAAAGGTCACATAACTAAATCAGTGAATCTGTGTTCGAATCTGTTGTTGCTATACATTTTCTAGTAGTGAAGGCATTCCCATAAGGTTTCTTTGGGAAAATTATGAACCAAAAGATCGCTATTTTTAAAGGTTATTTCTACTTTTAAAAAAGTACAAACAAAATAACTTTAGATAGTCTATTTGGAGACAACTTTCGTAAACTATCTTTAATAGCTAGAATTTTAGCCTAAAACAAAGATATATGTAGTAACAATAATTTGCTCCTGTTGGTCTTTTGATCATTACTTTATAAAGAAGCAAGATTTTTTCCTCAATTTCTCTTTTATATTACTTTTTTAAAATGATAAGGAATTGGATTTCCCTTATGAAATGAAAAGGAGCCAAGTGCTTTGGGAAGTGGAACCTACTTTTGTGGAAATTATCACATTGCCTCTTTTTTTTCTTTTATCCTGGGCTTAAGTGATTCTCCTGCCTCAGCCTCCTGAGTAGTTGGGACTACAGGCCCACACCACCATACCTGGCTCATTTTTCTCTCTCTCTTTCTTTCTTTCTTTCTTTCTTTCTTTCTTTCTTTCTTTCTTTCTTTCTTTCTTTCTTTCTTTCTTTCTTTCTTCTCTTCTTCCTTTCTTCTCTTTTTCTTTCTCTTTCTCTTCTTCCTTTCTTTCTTCTTTCTTCTTTTTTTTTTTTTTTGTAGACACGGGTCCACTCTTGCTCACGGCTGGTCGTTGATCACTGCACTCAAGCATCTCCTCAATCCTCCAATAGTGCCGAGATAATCAGGTGTGAGCCACCATGCGCCTCCTATATTTCTCTTCAAGTAAATGACCTTATTAAAGTAAATGTGCCAGTCTACTACTACCTGGTCGCTACCTTATATCACGGAAAACTATAACAAATTAGATCGACACCATTAAACTAGTGAATAGCCCTACTTATGGACAAAAAATAGAAAGATATTTCCCCAGTTAAAAATTCTGTTACTGCTATTAAATTTTTTCTAGGATACACATCAAAAACTGAGTTATCCTGACTGAATAACGCCTCATTGTCACAGCTGCAATCTCAAGAGCCTTAAAGATATCTAAACCTGAGAATAGATTTAGAAGAATTTAAATTTTTAGGGGAAAGATCTGATCTTGTCCTGTTATATTTACAGCCTGATATAATTAAGTATCGCCAGGAGGACACTCCCAGTTGTGTGCGCCCCACTCCCAAGCTGCCAAAAAGAAGGGAATCCTCAGCTCCCACTACAATAGATTTTCTGGAAAAGAGAATCGGATTCCCCGAAGAGCCCAGCCAGCATGTAGAACAGCCAAAGAGAAAGTAGTTTATATCCCTGGCAATAAGAAATACGATTATCCTTGAAAATTAAAGGACAAATACGTAGAGTAACTTTAAAGTTCTCCTCAAGCGAGAACGAAAAAATCACCAAACAAGTTTTTTATAAATCTGTTAACTTAATTTCCTATTAGGTCGCCAAACTTTAGAAACCATTAATAAAACGGATTACAACCCTCCATTCAGTCACTCAAAGAAGACAAGTTCCCCATTCCCATATAAGCAAGCTGTCACAAATCATAACTTACCGTGTTATCTTTAATTTACTGTCGTTTTTTTTCTGAGTCCTTTCTAAAATCACTTTCCATGTTGGCCTAATCCTAGCCCCCGAATCATTAACCTGTCCCTTCAAAAAACATTTCAACTCTCCAAGGAATATAACCTGAGAAAAGGGAAAAAATAGAAATCCCCGCCCATGTATCCCTAGAAACCAACCAGACTAACACCCATGGGTATTCTTTGCCAGCTTCTCCAATACCATACATAAGACATACCTTAAAACAAAAAAAAAAAAAAAAAAACCATAAGTAGGCGGATACAACTCCGCTACAGTTCAACGTTGCCAGCTTTCAAGACAGCAAAAGTAGCTTGTAAACTCCACACAAATCCAGCTCCATTCTGATACATGTAAGCCAAAACTCCAATGAGCAATGTAAGATTATAATTTACAGTATAACACATCCTGGCCCTTTTAGGAGCCCCGAGGCTGAGGATTTGCTTGAGATTTCATATCCCCAAGCCATTAGCAAAGAGCCAAGACTCCATCCCCACAAAAAAAAGAGAAAGAAAGAAAAGAAA